TGAAAATGTATTGAATTTAAAAATAGCAGAACTCCACGTCATGCTAAAAACTTTATTGATTGTCAAGTTGCATGCAGCCGTTAGGGTTTTTATATTCCGTTTGACTTTGGGGAATGCCTTTAATGTGAAATAAAGTCAAGAACTCATTATAGAACCCTGAGAAGTTTTTACTTGAAGCTATCATTTTTTATGTGCACTTGAATGCATGTTTGTGTGGATATGCTTTATGTGCATGCTGAACATCACCTTGGGTTAATAATAACCAAATCCAGTTGGTCGCAGCCCTGGCTGTTTCCTGCACTCTGGTACACATTGTAAAACGCAGGTTCCTAAATCGCAGTGGTGTCCTTTAATTTATTGCTGTGTGAGCACTCGCTGATGCAAAGTTTGAGCCAATGAGACGAAAACACAACTGTCACTTTTGTTATAGTCTTCTACATTTTTCAGTGAATGAAATTTTATCCCCTTTTTGAGTTTAAATAAATGTAAATGAGTGTCACTGATGTAGTATTTGATGCAAATTAAAAGAGCTTTCCTTTGGAGGTCTTTTTCTCTCACGATGACACAAAATGTTGTTTTGCAAACAAGCATTTRGCAAATAACAAGTTGGGTTGCTGCATAAAATGTCAATTTAAAAAAATATATTTGCAAACCGTGTAAACCTTTTTTTATTCACAACAGGTATTTAGGATATATTGAGTTTGATAGCGTTACATCTCAAAAATGCATCAGTGGGGGCTACAAAAGTCTGTAGAAGTAGGAGCTATGAATAAGAAACAGCTGCAGGAACATTTTACAACTAATTAGGTTAATTGAAAAYGGGTCAGTAAGAGGTCTGGGTATAAGAAGAGCATTTTAGAGAGACTGAATCTGAAAGCTGAAAGTAAAAATGGGCAGATGCTCACCAGTTCAAGTCATCCAAAAATAGTTTTAAAATACCTGAAACTTGTTTGAAAATCCAGTCCAATTCCCTCTTAAATTTAAAACTTAACTGGGAGAATTATAAATGTAAAACACGTGCAGGTTTTTCTCACTGTCGTGACCCCTGCAGAATAGAGCACACACACACACACACACCTTCACACATGCACACACATCTTTTTTTTTCATTTAATTTAGTCCATCATTACTTTACCAACAGGCCTAATCCTTCTCAAAAGGAAATTCTTGATGTTGCAAAGATTTTTGTAGTGAAATTATGCAAATTACTCTTCAAAGACATTTTTTTCTCTTTAATGTAGTTTGCAGTTTTCTGAATTAAAATTTTGTGGCACAAAATCAAGTCATATGTTTCTCTTCCTTTTTAACTTTTTAATTTGAGGAGTGCTGGAAATGTTACTTTCTCCAGTATATGAAATCTTAAAACCATCTTCAACACATCAAAAGTTTCATGTATTGGCAGTGGTGTCATCTATACTGTATGTGTAATTTTTTTCTACCACTTTTGCTTTGGTTTTTTGTAGAGATTTGTTCATTCATTCATTTACTGTTCTTTTTGTTAGTCACACACAGACCAGMTGCTGTGCTTATTTAACCATAATGAACTCTCAATAAGAGCATCTTGTTCATATTCCCAAACACAGTTTAATCTGAAAGTTTTATGATGAATGACAAAGTTTTATTTTCTTAGAATGCAGCACATAAAGCGTGWAATTATGCAGCATCCTTCACAGTATGAGCGGTCACAGAAAGTCTAATTTCTATCAATTAGTTCAATGCCAGGCCTGAAGCACTTGCAGGCTTATTTTGTGTGTGATTTAAAATGATAACTCTTCTGCTTTGATCTTTTATTTTGACTTGTTATGTACTTTCTAATTGCTGCCACAACTAAAGGAAGTGCTCACAGGTTTTAAGTTCCTTTTTTTATTCCTTTTTACCAGTTGGTATCATGATATATATATATAT